ATTAAACTGCTCTAAACCTTGGTTGATGAAAAAATCAGGAAAACGTTGACAAGTGAATATTTTATTTTATATTATTTATAAAAATATAAAATTATATTTTGCAACTGTCCAGAAGACACAGTGGCCATTTAAAAAGTGATAAATTGTTAGTGCACTTTAGAAATTTGAGGCTGAATAATTTATTTAGAGGAAAAGACAACTTGTTTATAATCTTTTGTTTTTCAATAGATCTTTAAAAACGTTTAAAGGAGTTTCAAATCTAATCTTAAGATAGTAGAATGGAAATTTCACAAAGATGATAGAAACCATTTGCACGGTTAGTTATGAGCCTGTTCCGTTTTGGAAAATTTTATGAAATGTTGGAATGAGTGGTATGATTTGAAATTTTGTTAACTTTGATTTATTTATTTTTGTGAGATTGTGCGTGGTTGTCAACGACCATCGGGGGGTAATGGGTTGAAAATGAAATCGGACAGATTGGGAAGTGCAAGAATCTCGGACTCACCGGTTTCATCTTGTCAATTCTTGAAAATTCTATCGGCTCCGGGTGGAACATAACGTCTGGGATCTTTCGCTGGCTCGAGGATATCGATTTAACAAACATTCGGTGGCAGCGTCGTACAGAAGCAGCACCCCCACCCGGTTGGAGGAAAAGTACCACTTCTCGACATCTTCACGGCTCTCGAACTTTCCACGTTTCGCTCGATATTTCTCTGCATGTCAACACACCGTGTCTTTAGTTGCATTTGCATCAAAATCACATTTTCCCGGAAAAAATAACCATTTCCGTCCAGTCAAAAAAGTTAAGAACTGACGTTTCAATGATGGTTTACGAATGGCGTCGTATCCAAAAAAAGAAAATATGGATAAAATTTGCACGTTCTTGTACAATTTCACCAAATCATAAAATCTAGAATCGAATTTATATACGTATAAATGGAAAATCGTTTAAATGTGACAAAGTGGTTTACAAAAATCTTAAATATTGTGTAATTACTGCACAAAAACAGTTAAATAGTTTCAACAAATAGTACATGGTTTTAAAAAATTAATTTATTGCAATATAAATTATCGTTTTTCAAATTCTTACAGCCCCTAAAAAATATTCATAAGACAAAAAAAAATTCTGCCATTTGAAAATTTAAAGTATAAAAGATATTTTTTGCTTATGGTGTTTCATACAAAGATCTACTACGTTCTTGTTCAGTCATTTGGGGCATAGAGGCAACAAAAAGGTTGACATATTGGCCAAAAAGGGGTCCAACATGGACTCTCTGGGCGAAGAACCCTACTGCGGCTTAGCAACCTGCCACAAAAGAGGATCCATCTTAAAATGAATCCTTAATGAGTCCAAAACCTGGTGGACAATACCACAGGTACGAGGCACATGAAGAGATTCATAGAAGACCATTTGCAAAACTTACAAAAAATTTACTGGATGGCAACCACAACTGAACTAGGATTCTGGTTAGACTCCTGACAGGGCACTGCCACTTAAGAAGGTACGTGCACCGGAGAGTACAGACAGAAGAAACACTGTGCAGATACTGCCAGGAAGAGGAGGAGACCACAACACACATTTTATGTTTCTGTGAAGGTCTATGTAGGTGCATGTTCTTGCAACTAGGACAAGAAAAACCACATGCAAGATCCTACACGAAGGAGCTGCTGGCAAAGCTGTGGAGGCTGGTTAATAACCTGAAGCTGGCCAGTGAGCTGGCTAATAACAGGGAGCACAATAGATATATTCAGATCGAGGTGAAGTAGGCTTCAAGGCTGCCTCTTTTATCCCTATCTTGTTCAGTATGCTCTGTCTGCTTGGAAGGTGCATATAACAATATTAAAAATCCTATAGTTAAAAAGAAGTTTGTTTTTTATAAAGAGAGACATTCCTTTCCAATTTTCTAAATTATAACATTCTACCATACAACACCATTATGAATATAATGGTTTATGGAATTTTTTAACAAGGGGAAATGAGAGAAATAAATGCAAAAGTTAAAATTAAAAATTGAGGAAGCCAACGCAATTATATCAACCAAAAACCACACTTTTGTTAAAATGTTCCTTTTATGGAGGCCCTAAATGGTCTCATAAAATTCCTGTATGTTTAAAAAAAGACTGATTTTGTGACAAATAAATAAATTATATATCTTCAAGCAGCCAATCTTCTAAATCAAGTATTATTATTATTATTTTTTTAAAGAATGCATCAAGCAAAACTACACAATTTACTTAAAAATCTATTGGTTCACAAAGAATGTTTTTTGTTCATAATTCAACAAAGTTGAGGCATGTAACTCTAAAATAGGATATTTCGTCTAGAGATTTATAATTTTATAGCAAATGCAATAAAAATAAATTAATTATTAACTAAATAAATTTGTATCATTCAACATTAAGTGATAATTTGATGATGTACAATTCTATTATTTTAATTATGATGTTTTCTATGTAGTTATTGTAGCTATTATAACATCTATTATAAAATAATCTATTATAGCTTTTATAGCATAAATAAAGTTGGTGAAAAATTCATTCAATTTATATCCTTGGATGCTTTAAAAACGAAAAAAAAATTAAATTATTTTTTGTTCACAATTCAACAAAATTGAGGCAGGTTACTCTAAAATAGGATATTTCCTATAGGGAGATTTATAATTTTATGGTAAATGAAATAAAAATGAATTAATTATTAATTAAATAAATAAATATAAATAAATACATTTACAGCATCTATATTAAGTGATAATTTGATGATGTACAATTATATTATTTTAGTCATGACATAATCTATGTATATATGCTTTTATAACATAAAGTTGGTGAAAAAATTTATATATTCATTAATTTTATATCCTTGGATCAGTTTTAAAAATGAAAACAATTAAATTATGGCACATCATGCGAATATTCTTTCAAATTAAAAAGTGATTTTTTTTAAACAATGCATTAGGTACTACTTGACAATTTAATTAAAGATCTATTAGTTCCCAAAGTTGATTATTTTCAGTTTGGAAGTTAACAAACTAGGCAGTTGGCTAAAATAGAATATTTCCTCTAGGGTATTTGTAGCTGACTTTAATTGATAATTTTTATGATGTATGATTATTACAGTTATATTATATTTGTTATGATGTAACTGTGTATATGTTTTTATAGAACACAAATAAAGTTGATGAAAATAATACAATCATATACATTAATTGTATATCCCCAGATCAATTTTAAAGCTTTCTTTTTACAGTCGTGAAAGAAAGGAAGTGAGAAACACTGCTAGGTCATCTTCACTACATGTTTCAAGTCATATTTTATTAGTATATGATCAAACTGTGATGAGCATTAACTCAAGAAAGTTTAAAAAGATGGAAAAAAAAGACAATGGGACAATTGGTTTTGTAAACGAGTACGTTTACATGTAATGTAATATTAAAAAATTAACATGAAAGTAAACAGTTCCTTTTCAATGAATATTTGGTATTTTGCCTCATACAGACTTTGGTGTTTGACTTCTCTTGTATATAATGAAAAATAAATTATTGCCTCCTAAACAACCATATTACAATTTCTTGCCATCCCTGCAGAATTTATTATTATAATAAAAATTTAACATGTTCGTTTGAAAGATTTTAGTGCATGTTTTGTGAATATGATACTTCATACACTGTTATAAATCAATTTTATAACGTAATTCTGTCTTTTTACAGTAAGAAATGCGACAAATGAGTTCAGTTAGATTATAATGTAGCATTAAATAATTAAAAGAAAAGAAAACAGGTCTTTTCCATAGGATATCTGGCTTTTTGCTATTTTCAGTGGTTGGACTGAAACAAAATGCTAACCATACTTTGGCACCTGGTGAAAGGTAACTGAGACAAAATTAACAAGAATCGGCGAGAATGATCAGAGATGATTTATCTTCTCAATAATAACGATTTATTACTCGAATCAAGAAATTTTTAATTAAATGTTATTAATTTTGTGCTAAATATAAAATACTTTTATGTGTATTGCACATAAAAATTGGGAGTTCTGTTTATATCTTATAGTATATTTAGTAAGTATATAGTTAAGTATATATTTAAGTATATTTCAACTTCTCACTTTTCTGATACCATTAACATTTAGCAAACTGCCTATCAATTTATTTTCCATGTTTGTCAATTTTGTTCTTTGTCATTTCAAGAAATTTGATCCACCATTTTAGGATAAACAAAGTAAATATTTATATATATACTTTGAATCCACAAGTCCAGTCTTAATTATATTGAGTGCTCCTCGTTCAGAGGAGGTACAGAACAGATGTGGATGGATAAAATCAGACTGCCCATGAAGTTTTCACCCAGTTTTTACTTAATTTTATTATTTTAAATAATATGTTACCACAGCACTAGAATGCTATAAGCAACTTTGTCGGCATAAATTTTATATTGCAACATTGCAAGAGTGGAAAAGTAATCTATTAATTGCACTCTTATCACAGTACTATTCCTTTCCTCACTAGGATAGAAATTGTGTGGCCATTGGCGCTTTAGGCATCTTAGATCAGGAAAGACTCGGGATGTGTTGGAATGAGGGCTCAGGGTTTTATGGAGGCGTCTGTATTGACTTCTTTCAGTTTTCGAGGATAAATGGAATTTGGAGGTCTGTATGGTAAGGTCGGATATAAAGTAGTGAGCTGCAATAATTCAAAGGATTTTGAATTGGAGTTTCACGATCCTTTGGATGTCGAGCAAAAGGAAAAATTAGACCTTGGTACATAGATTATTTATTATGCAGTGTTACTTTTATATAAAACTTATAAATAATTTTCAAATAATTAATGCATCTACTAACATTCAACTTAAAAAGTAACGGTTGTTTTTATAAAAATTTAAATTCATTGAAAGGCAATAAACATTTAATAATAGTAGGAAAGGGACAAAAATATCAATGTCTTGAGCTTTAGACATTTTACTCACATTTTCAATTCTTCAATAAGTAAAAATTAAATTACGTACCTACTCAGCATTATTGATAACCTTTTTTTCAAATCTTCCCAAGGGCTGAATGGGGCCATTCCCATTCAGAGCGAGTCACTAATAATTTTGCATAGTCCTAAATTACTGTTTAATTCATTTCACCGTTAATTTTCTTCTTGCTACATACTTCAACAAATGTTTTGGGGGCTTTAATAATAACAATAATAATAAACATATGGCTGAGGCAGCTTGATACATCCGATATCAGACTGTGTTTCTTCAGAGAAAATTTGTTTAATTGTAATATCTGCTCCAAATTCAGAAATGAACATTATAGACAACATCAATAGTCTCAATTATTCTTACACTTCAAAATTATTTTACAACAGATGATTTATGTAGTAGTGCATTCAGTGTTTTTCTTCCTAATATGTGTATGCTTAATATTTTCTCTTAAATTAAAAAGACCATTTGCAATATACTTCAAGGGAATTTGCCGACTATGTAACTGATTTTTTAATCACACATTACCTAAATATGCCTATGATCAATGATAATTTTTTACTGCAGAAGCCTTTGTTTAAAATTAATGGCAAACGGAAAATAATATATAATTCTAAAAAAATTATTTCAAATTAATGACAGTACATTGCATAGATGTCGTAAAAAAATCTAGCTTATTAGACTGAAGAAACAAATCGATTTTTGATCCCATTCAGCTGATTTTAGATTAAAAAAAACTTATTAATAACTATTAAAAGATGTGGGTCTATATAATTTCATTTAATATTGAGAAACAACAAACAAGTGTTCAAGGCAGTTATGGCAGCATCGTCTCAACCTCCATTCCATGATCAGGCCCTCTGACGCTGAAAACAAAATTAAAAACATGATAAAAAAAAAATTGAAAGAATTGACTGAAAAGGTCTTATATGTGAAGAGTTTGGTCAATAGGTGGCCCTCAGAGGATCTGAACCTGAACTGATAAAGAGGGATCATACCCAGCTAAGAATAGGCCATGTAAGTTTGACACACACTTACTTTTATGCCAAACTGCATATGTGTCTGGCACATAGAGAAAGATTGTTAGATGTGCCCCACTTAATTGAAGTATGTCATTCCTCGGAGTCACATAGCAAGTAGTAACATTACCCAATGTGATAATTGTGCTTAAGGATGGCAGCGAGAAATGGGACCCTTATTTGGATTTTTAAAGGAAACAGGACTGTTTCATTGCATAATGCATATAGTACTTTATAGTTGGTTACCAGTTCCTCCCCACACCGTTGACAATCCACCCCCGTTTCTGGTACCTGGGGCTCAGTGGATTTTTTTTTTTCGTGGACGCTTCATCTCCAAAAATAAAATAATCGGGCGCCACAGTTTTTTTTCTTTCCTTTTTGGGAAACAGTGAACCTTGGGGCGAAATTAAAAAAAAAAAAAAAATCTATGTCCTCTGTATTGCGAATAAAACGGAAAACAAAAAGGAAATAAAACAAATTCATTTATACAATAAAAAAAAGAAAAGAAAGAGTCAGAAAATAAAATCACATAAGAGAAAAGAAAATTTTAAACCTCGTCCCGGTCCGTTTTCTTCTTATTTCAGGATGATTCTTCTTGCACTGACCTGAACTCTGCTCCACAACGTCAAGGCAATAAAGTCCAAAATAATTTTTACAAAGCACAATGAAGTCCTTTTACACTGACTTGTCAACCCATTCAAGCTCAAGCCTCACCCCACATCTCACCAATGTCCCTGCTGAGCCTCCTTTGGCTCCTAAAGAATGCCCGCATGTCTTCGGCCTCTTGCCGATATTTCTCAACCTTGCCAAGGGCACCCTCGTCTCTATCTGAATCTAGTCACCCCAGCACAATTTTTTTAAAAATTATTATTTTCAACTTGTAACATCGCCTTACGTTTCTTTCTATATAGTATTGTTTAGTGTTAAATATATGGACCACTTTTTTATTCATGAATAATAGGATCTTGGTATGGTCAAGTGGATAAAAGGTCCTGTTTTGAATACCGTTTTGCACCAGAAGTCTTACGGCTCGATTTATACAGTTGTGTACATGGGCAGAATTGAACCTAAATAAAACAGTAATCAGTAATTGTTGATTCCTTATTAGCTGATTTTACATAATAATAAGTATTAGCTATTTTTTAAAGATGTGGGTTCAACTGAAAAACAACTGCAAAAGAATGAAAAAAAAATTCAACAATTCAATCTGACTTATTCTCCTTGGTGAAGTCTGTTAGATATGTTTAGTTTTTCTGCTATCTTCAGAGCAGGATCCATAGTCACAAAGTAATTAAAATTTATTATTATATCATTATTTTCAAGCTACATGATTTGTATAAAAAAATTATATACAGACACAGAAGTGGTGGGATATAATGGAAACCTTATTAATAAATAAATCAATAACAAACCCACCAATGAAGATGGTGGAATGTCAAAGAATGTCATCTCACGATTTCTGAATAATTATTGATTAACGGTCACTAATCACCACACACGTCAAAGTTAAAGATGAAACCAGTCTGACAGAATGGATAGATCAGTATGATCACAACTTCCATAACTGTTATTTAGCTAGATTATTCTGAAAAGGAAAATTCAATAGACAAAGTTTAACTAAATTAAGCCATCTAGATGAAGGAGGACAAAAGGACAAAACAATTTCCAAAAATAAAAATATATTAAAAAAGATTTTATTCAGCCATTTCAACATCATCGACATGTAAATCATCCAACATTTCTTCAAGAGTAATGCAGAATTGATTGCTTTCATCCACATCATCAGTGTCAACTGGCATAACTGCCTTCTTAGGATCTTTATAAATATTAACGTTCTGCCTGTAGACAGCATCTTCTTCCAAATCATCCAAAAAGCCAGCATAATCCCTGAAAAATTTTTATGTTTGCTTTATTGCATTCAGAACATTATTTAGATGAATAATATAGACACTAACTGGTCAGCAGAATTAATGCTTGTGTCATCTCTAGGAAGGTGTTTGAGTTTCCACATTCTCCTCTTGCTTCTATTTGGATAGTGTTTTTTAACAATTATAACATCTGGAATTTTATCCTTGTCTACTTTGTCAAAGTTATCATCATTGACGTTACTTTCATTCAAATTGTATCCAAGAACGGTATCTCCAGGCTTTAAAATATGGCCTAAATGGCTTCTGGTATGAATCGTGCTCTCTGTCATACCTAGGTCAGACTCTTTGACTAACCAGACATCACATAAAACATGCTAAAACGGAATTATTTTTTTAATTTTAATGTAAGTAATTTAGAAAAGGTTTTTTACTTTTATTGAAATATGGCCTTGTCCTGGGAAAAGTTTTCTCTCGCTATCTGCTATAGGTTCTATATCCATGACAATGTATTGAGACAACTGTTTTGGATTAAATATACTTTTAAAAGGGTCGCGCCAATAATTGGTTCCGGTAACTTCAGCAACTAAAGAAAATAAAAATTATAATTAAACAAATGTAGAAATTATGATTTTTAATAATATTAATATTTAGTGTAATAACTTTGTGATGAAGAAGGATCAATCAGATGAATGTTGTTAGACACTCTTTGTACAATGCAAACTTGGCTAATTCCTCCAAAATGGCTCGCCATTTTCGTGGACAAACAGACAATGCTGTCTTTTGATATGGGCACAATTTCAACGCTGGAAATGTCATGAAATCATCAGTTAAAAGCTATAAACTATTTTTTTAAAATACCTTACCTAAAAGTAAATTTATAGTTGTACACATTACTATGTATATCATGTGACAGTAATTTTTTTGAATGTTGCCATTTTATTGGAAGAACAGTGCTTAGAAAATCCACCATTTTCTTAGCGTGGGATTCCGTTGCAAAAAAGAAATCAATGCCCTCTTTAAAAAAAATAAAAATAAAAAACAATAGTAATGCATACTTAAAAAGTGATTTATATCAATAATTAATTACCATGAATTGGTTTTATTCCTAAAGTGTTGTCATGAGCTTTGTGTTTTAAAATTAACTGCTCTAGGTAATAAAATGTCTTCTTGTTTTCAGCCCTCTGTCTAACTTGTACCTTAAAATGAACTGAACTGTTATTATTGCATGTACCAAAACAACAAGCCAAAAATTTACCGATGCCCGCCAGAAATTCTGTGCCTCAGTGCGATGACAGTCATCACACATTTGATTTGCTACAGTGAATTCCACGATGAAAATCTGTTGTAAAACTGCTCCACTAAAAACTTCTCCTTGGACTGTTAATTTTACCTTTTAAAACAATCGATGAGATTAGTGGTTGTTTTAATTTTTTTTTAAATATTGAGGTTTTACTTTTAGCCGTTTGGAGTGAGGTTCGGTCCAGACGAAACCTGCGTCCACCAATTTCACTCGATTCAGACCTTTCAGCTTTTTCAAACAAAGACCAAGCAATTCCCTAGACTCCAATTCGGCATGTATCCATTCTGACGGTGGTTGAAAATATCTTAAAAAGATATACAGATAAATATCATCACTTACTGATTAAAAACAACAAAAATGACAACCCCATTTAGAATTAAATGACATGCAAAACTATAATACAGCAATGATAAACAACTTTGAATATTAGTAGTAAAATTGCTTCAAAAGTCATAAATCTTACCCTTTACCAAATTCAACTTTCATTCTGAACATTTTCTGAGCACAATCTAATTCAATTGTAAATATAATAATATAATATAAATAAAAACTAAAAAACAAAATCAAAAATTTTAACAAGATAAAATAAAGTAAGCTGGACATTGTTTTTTAAGCATAGTTGTTTCAATCATTTTGATTTATCTATCATTGTTGCCTTTTCTATTAACCAGGGCAAACTATTTGGAATGATCAACAAGTCAACATCCTAAAGATCTCAAGACAAAATCTTACGTGTATTTTTTCAAATCCTTCAAATCTTAAAGGCCCAAAAATTATTCCCGACCATCTGCTTGGTTTCTGCAGCTGTCACTGCCGTACAAGAATGCCATCATATTGTGGACATTATCATGAGTTAATGCAGTATTTTTTAGGAAACTTTCTCACTGTTGCCCAGGCTTGCTGTTTTTTTTCAAGGGCATGAGTCTATGGACTCTACCCATTATGAACTCTACCCAGCTACCTCACCGACCAGTACTTCAGTGCCATTGAAGGGTCGGCGTCATTCCCAAAATACCTAATCCTTACTAGTCTATGCGGGGTAATGTTCTGGCCCCCAAACTGTACCAGGTATACACAGCTGACCTGCCATTCAATCCTCAAATCACAACCACCCAAACCTTTGTTGACGATACAGTGCTCCTGTCAAGAAACTCTGATCCAGACACTTCCACTCGAAACCAACAACCACCCTATAGGTGTCTTGGTGTGAAAACAAGAAAATAAATGTATACCCTAGATCGTTTATTATTGAAAAATAAATAGACATAAATAATAACTGTTGATTGATGATTACAGTTTGATTCCCGAATGTGTTGATGCATTGAGTTCAGCTACTTCATGAACGAATATTGTTGCTTGGCGAATCACCGAGCGCCCGACCCTGCCAGTTGGGTTCGGCATACCTTTGCTCGGCATTCGGCAAATCCCACATGTCTGGAGCCACATTGACATGAATTTTCTTCAATCAACTTTTGAGTTGGTCGTCATCCACAACAGAATGCCTACTGTGACCTCCAATCAAAATCTCTGAAACCATCACTGCACCATGCATTTGGTAATGCTTCCCTCCCCCTAAACTGTAACTGATGTTACATGCTGTTTAGGCAGCACTTCATCCAAGTTAAATTCATACAAGTAAATTTGACGAAAATCTAGTTTGAACATATACAATTTTGCAGGTCCTCACTCTTATAAAATTCAATATAAACTATTATGAATAAAAGATAACATAAAAGTATTTATTAAAATCCATAAATTAGATTTGAGGATTTAGCTGTTTACATGACTAGCACATGCGAAAATAAAACGAATTTTCAAAACCTGCATTAATTTTGCACCAACCCAATGTACAATAATTATAAAAATAAAACTATAATAATTATAAAACAATTATTATAAAAAATATAATTATATAATAATGAGTATCTATCACAGTTGTCAGTTTTGTAAACAATGCTTTTGAAAGCTGAATCATACGAGGGCAACAAGTTGTAAGCTTTGTACCTTTCACAGCCTCTGCAGAAGTGAATTGTCGCCTGCTTCGGGATGCCCGCGGTGATGTCCACCTGGGTCCTGACACAGTGAACGCACATGTTGGCAGGGTTTGCTTTTATTGGAACTCCGCATTGACAGCATAATCTGAAAATGTTATTGAAGTCAGAGAAGAAGAGTTGAAGTCAACTTTAATCACTTACATATCTCCGACCTCGAGATTAGGTGTAACAGAAACGTATTCCATTTTGGCCACCCTGAAATCTTGAGGAGTTGAGGTTGAAAACTTGGAAAGGAAACCTTCCAAGGAGTAGCCAAAGGTTTGCTTGACGTTTACTGTGCTGTGCTGCCCTCCTCTGACCACGTGTACTGCAGTAGCGCTCTGGGTAGAACGACATAGAAGGATCACCTCAGAAGGTACGACTATTCTTCATAGTTTTTTAGTGCTATTGAAAAATTTAGAAAATATTGATAAAGTATATTGAAATGCCTAAAGAAATCAAGTACGACAATGATTCTGTACAAAAGCCCATGAGAAATGTATAAATATTAATCAATATCATAAATTCATTTCCTGCTGCTCACAAAAGTACAAAAAAGAGCTAATAACAGACCTTAAAATAACTAGACATGTTAAATTATGCAGAATTGTACATTCAGTCTGCCCTAATTCACTTTATGAAAAACAGGTCTTTTTATGCCACAAATAATCCAAACTTTACAACACATTATACACTGGATACCATCCATACATCTTTCAAAAAAACTTGACCCATTGCGCATTGCAGTAGCGCTCTTGGTAGAACGACATAGAAGGATCACCTCAGAAGGTACAACTATTCTTCATAGTTTTCTTAGTGTTATTTGAAAAATTTATAAAATAGTGATATATATTGAAATGCCTTATGAACTCAAGTCCAACAATGATTCTGTACAAAAGCCCATGAGAAATGTATAAATATTAATCAATATCATAAATTCATTTCCTGCTGCTCACAAAAGTACAAAAAAGAGCTAATAGCAGACCTTAAAATATTAGACATGTTAAATTATGCAGCATTGTACAATCAGTCTGCTCTCATTCCCTTTATGGAAAACAGGTTTTTTACTACAAATAATCCAAACTTTACACCACATTATACATCTTCCTAAAAACTTGATCTGTGCATTTCAGTAGCGTTGGTAGAACAACATAGAAGGATCACCTCAGAAGGTACAACTATTGTTCATAGTTTTTTTAGTGTTATTTGAAAAATTTAGAAAATATTGGTAACGTATATTGAAATGCCTAAAGAAATTAAATCCGACAATGATTCTGTACAAAAACCTACAAGAAATTTATAAAATATTAATCAAAATCATAAATTCATTTGATTAATATTTTATAAATCATAAAGTGTTATCAGTTTTTCATAAAGTGAAAGAGGGCAGACTTCAAAAAAGCGTTAATAAAAGACCTTAAAAAAAATTAGACATGTTAAATTATGCAGAATTGTACATTCAGTCTGCCCTCATTCACTTTATGAAAAACAGGTCTTTTTATGCCACAAATAATCCAAACTTTACAACAAATGCTGGATGTCTACATCTTCCAAAAAAACCACATATATTGCAATAGCGCTCTGGGTAGAACGATGTAGAAAAAATTACTTCAGAAGGTACAACTATTCTTCATAGTTTTCATGTTTGTTTGTTTAGAAAAATTTAGAAAATATTGATAACAAATATTGAAATGCCTAAAGAAATCAAGTCCAACAATGATTCCATGCAAAAACCCACGAGAAATTTATAAAATATTTATCAATATCATAAATTCATTTGCTAATACTCAGAAAGGTACAAAAAAGCGTTAATATACATGTTAAATTATACAGAATTGTTTTATTTGCCATACATCTGGGGAAAAAACCTGCTGGACAGGAAGGATTTAAGTAGGTATACCACTATCAAATCTATTTAATTGGCTTCCCAAGAAATTAAAAATTTGAGCACATATAGGGAGAAAAATAATTTTCAAGCAATCAAATCTTTTATATAACAAAATTCTTTTCCACTACAGAGGTACATCATCTTTATTACTGAATCCCAATAAACTTGTTTACAAAAGAAAAGTCTATACCTTTCCTAAAATAATATTTAGCTTTATAAAACAAACTGTTGATACCAATTTGACTTTATTGGAAATGTGAAAACAATTTTAATAATTATTTGGTAGATAAGTACCATATTTATGAACCTACTAATATTATGCTCTTCCTTTTTGATACATGAAAATTTATTTTAAAAAAAATGTTTGAATTTGCCAGGTAAAAATCTCTCAAACTAAAGAAATTTGTTTTTAATTGAGTAAATTTTTACAGCATTCATTAATATTTTGTCTTTTTTTTTTCTCTTGAGGCGAAACAGGACAAGTCAAATTTTGGTCAAATGAGTTATGTACATATTCCAGTAAATATTCAGGCTGACAGACTGTGGATTTTATTAAGTCTTAAGATTTAAAGGATTAAGTCGAAAAGGAAATAAGTGAAATAGTGCAGTTATCTATGTCTGTCATCTGGTTTTTAATACAAATTGACTTATCCGATTTTATTCACATAGTGAATCAAAGGTAAGGTTAAGGCTAAGGTTAAAAGGAGGGTCTCATTATGACCATACATGTGGTGACCAATATTTTTATTGGTCTGTTGTTCAATCCCCATTATTACATTTCTTCGCTAGGCTAAAGGCTTTTTATCAGATCCCAAAGGTTTGATAAGGCCTTTCTTGTGTATCCTTCAGTCCTTGGCTTTTCTCCTCCTAAGTGTAAGAAACTATGCATATCTAAGCATCCCATTGTTTCTTCTCCTGGCAATATCTGAACAAGCTTGTTTCTGCTTGTCCAAACCTATTCTTATGCCTCCAAAGTCTGCAAAGTTGTTCTAGTTGTTATAATATTAATATGCCCTAGGTGTGTAGTTCTACAATTAATTTGAACTTTGATGAAAAAGTTGATTAATGCAAATTCTCTCGGCCAGAAATGCCTGGATATCTAATTAATGGATGTCTATAATCCTTGGTCAGTGATTTCACCTTTATTTGCCTACTGTTTAACTATCAACCAAGGAAATATTTTTAACATATTAAACTGTCAACCATGAGTCACTGTGTTATCATTCCTCATCATCCAAAAATTACAATAATTACATATTTTTACAAATAATCCTAGTATGACTGACTCTCGGACTTCAAATGTCATTAGTATTTTAACAAAAATAATTAATCACAGGCAAAAATCAATTGAGAAAAAAAACTTTTGCTATTGATTAAGAAAAACTGAAAGAAGTGCTTTGCCTTTTGTATTTACAAATATACTACAAAAGAAATCAATAGACCCATAGTAAATCAAGGCCCCCTAGAGCCTAACTTGCAGGCGGAGGACGGATACGAGAAAATTAAAAAGTTTGTCGATTCATTCATCATTCTTGTATGAAACGCAAACACTGATGACTTCTCAAACCACAAGCTGGCAAGCTATACATAGAGCTTTTATGAAGAAACAACCTTAACAATAAAAATTGACTGATGTCTTGCCAATGAAAGAATCAGTTATGCCAATTTTAAGAAACGACAGTAAACAATATAGAAGAAAGATGAGACTTTGTCATAGATAATTTCAAAACTAGGAATAAATCACAAACAAGATTATTAATCATCTCCCTTCCTGATACAGGATTATTTACAGTACGTTGAAAAGGACAAACTAATGATAAAATGCGCAGAAGTCCCTTCATTTCACTATTAACGTAACAAATGTACAAACGCATAAAAATGTTCCTCAATAAATTATTTATCAAATAAATCTTTATTGTTATATTAATCTTTAAAGTTGTTTAATAGCCACACAAAAAATATTTATGCGGGTACTCCAGAATCTGTAACATTACTGGATTTTTTCAGTCTAGAATGGGTGTCTAGTTGGGGCACTCTTTTATTTAAACAAATTATACCTATGTCTGCCTTTGAGTAGGTGTTGGATAAAAAAAAGTGCCCTCTGCAACTGGAACTGTATTCAATTGGCTTGTATACTAAATAAATTCCACCCTTTGTATTTTCAGGGTAAAAATTCGAAAAACTTATCGGATAATTAAAATTCAAGTTCTTGATAATTTAATTATATGAAAATAGCATGCAAAATCTTTTCAACTTTTTTCACTGTTTTTGAATAGTAAACTGTATTCACTGTAAAATCCACGTTTATTACATTGTCAAGTTTTATGTTTTTATGAAATGAATATACTCTTTATTATGATTTCCCCCAAATTTATTAAATTTAATTGTTTATTCAATTTGTTTTTATATTTCATTCAATGTATCACTGATGAAAATGTCCTCATACATACTTTTATTTGTTTCATGCTTTACTAAATCGTCAAGTATTATAAAAATTGAAATTTTCAGGCAGTCTGTAATGCATTTTATAAGAGAGATTTTTGAACATGTGATCGTGCATTTTATATTTTTCTGTTTGTGCACACGAAAATTGAAACCCTACTTTTTAATTTGCCTTATTGAATATATAACAAATACGTTTATTTGTTATGTTTTATATTAAATTTTGTGATCAGTTAATATTTTGATCGGATTATTTTTGATTTTGTCTTATTACTTTCCTTCTCGACGTTTGGGGTCAATAAACTCAACACCCTGTTTGTTTATTGAAGTACCTACCTTTCTCATTGATTACGCTTATTTTTATACACCTTTGTTTGTTTCAGTTGCAAAGGGAAACGAAATAAAGCTTTTTAACACTGTTTTATTAATGAGAAGAACTCTAGTCTGACAAAAAAATCCATTCGTTTAGCTCTTAGTTAGCAAGTGTGCCAAGTTTTTTTAAGAATCTTGCGGTTTGTTAGCCTTTGTTAGTGTTACCCTAGATTAGTGACGGTGGATAAAAAATCATGACAATAGGAGTCGATTTTGATAGAGAATTGAATTTCCATCAGCCCAATTCTATGAGCGGTCCCGCTACCAAAAAGATGGCGTTATGTATTTGATGAGAACGGTTATCTTTTATGTGAACTTAAAGAATATCGGTCAACTCTACAAAGACCATTGTCAACTAGGCCAGGCTATTAAAGAAATAAGAAAAGTCTGCGAGGTGAATAGAAACGAGCATCAACTCTTCCGTGACAAAAGGACCTTGTATATCGTTGGTGACGCTGCATAAATTGTTGGATTCTAGGAAGTGTATTCGCCGGAAATTGCAAACTTGTAACAATAAAATCAGAATAAGAAATTGTCAACCAAAAAGAATAATAAAAATATAGATTTCTTCTGGGAGACAAA